AAAAAAAAAAAAAATGGAAAACAAGAAAGCAATAAACAAAAACAACTCAATCTATGGGTGCATTATTAATGGTATGAAAAGGAGCCCTTCAGAGTTAGCATTTGAGGAGCTTCTTGCTTCTGTAGATGATCATCATGACAACAAGAAATTAATCCCTGATGATCACGTAATATTTGGAGTGCCGTCCGATCATCATCACCATCACCCTTTTGCCGATCATGACGTGCATTTTCCTCTCAAAAATTCGGTTAGTTACACTACACTACACATCGTACACATTTAATTTCTTTTCATTTTTATTAATTATAAATTCCAATGTTAGTTATGCGGAATATAATGACCTTCAACATTATGTTACAATGTTTGTATGATTTGTTTATACATGTATATAATATATATGTATATGTATAAAATTAACTGCGAATCTACATAATGAAATTCCGCTTGAGTCGACTGCCTCGTATTCGTATATATATATGGTGCATGGCAGTTGATCCACACAAAACTTCAGCTAATTAACAGTTGATAGATTTTTGTAAGACAGTCTCAAGTTTTAGGGATAGAGTAATTGGTCCAAACCCTAATTAGTTTTCTTTAGCCCAAATCATGTTAACACAAGTTTAGCCCTAACTTTTCACCCTTAATCCACTTTAATATTTTTTTGATTAGTCCATATTAGAACTCAGATAAGAGAGTGCGATCCACCAGGTGAAGCGCACCATAAGAGGGTGAGTTTAGGTGCACCTTAGTGAGGTTCCATCCCGAAACCAATTGGTGATGAGAGGAGTAGCCACTAGGCTTATACATTAGGCTCATTTTCCATATAAAATCAATGTGGGACAATTCACAAGTGATATTCAGCAGTCCAATATAAATAACTACTTTTATTTTTATTTTTCATCTTCTCGAATTGGTTTATAATTGGTTTCTCAGAGTTTTCATTTCCCAACATTTTAAGGGCTTTTAGTGTTTGTTTGTAGCTTTTTAGGGTTCATATATTATATTATAGTTTTTTTTTTTTTT